TATAGTATATATTTAGTAAGGCTTGTAAAATCAACTTTCAACTTTCCTTAATCTATTGGAATATGAAACATACTCGCTTTTGTAAATTTTTTTTTGCTCAAGGGAAATTCATTCGAAGATTATAAGATGTATTTGATCGGTCTGTACTACAACTTCTAAGAATCTTGGATCCAAATACTGTTAGTTGGTGAAGTACTACCACGTCTCTAATTGCAGTTTGAAAGCAAAAAAAAAATGTTATACATGTATAGTATAACGATTAATACCCAATTAACTCATTCGTTATATATAGTATTACTATATTACTTGCTGAATTTGCTCTCTAAATAAAGTTTTTAGTGATACTAATCTATACTAATTTTTTTTTACAAAAGACAGACAAAGAGTTAAAGAATACTATAATATGGGTTAAAAAAAATTTTATTGAGTAAAACCACAAGTTGTCAATTGACAATGTGGTTTTACATAGTAAGTGTTACTGTAAAAATTCTTTTTTATATTGTGTAACTCAGGAATCTTCAAGCCAATCAAATCGAATGTCCACCATGCTCTTATGCCAAATATGTAAAGGAGTCCCTTCTAGTAACAAGTTGACCTTTACATAAACCGTCCCATAAGCAGGTCTTCTCCTTTCCAACAAAATTTTTGTTTTTGTTCAGTAGGAAATTTTGGTCCAGATAATCGTTGAAAAGAGTTTGTACATTTTATTAATTTTAAACTCAATTACCTTAAATCTTTTAAAATTAAGCTTTATCTTAACAAAATATCTATTTATATTTATTTTTATTATATATTATCTTATCTATTTTTATTATTTAACTGTTTTGCTATAATTTATCTGACCCTTTTACATATTAGTATACTTATACTAATTATTACTCTTTATTGCAAATAATTAACTTTTTAATTTTTAAAACTATTTCTAACTTTAATTTCAACTTATTTCAATTCAAACTTAATTTTCTAATATATACAATTTCATCATATCTATACTTCTTTTCTTAACTCTCTTTTTTTTATTCATACTTACTTTAAGGCTTTATCTCTATTCTACTTATTTAGTATTTGCTATCTTTTGATTTTTCATATTTAATAATCTCTTAACTTATTATTCAAATAGTATTTAAAATTTCTAACTTTATAATCGGATTTGAAAAACATACTATATTAATTTCTTTTTATTGAAAAAAAGTGCCAAATTATTTTAAATTCTATCTCTGTTCTACTCTTTAATTTTTTTATAAATATTAGAGTTAAAAAAAACTTTACAACAGCAGGAGTATAGTAGCTCAAGTATACTTTAAACCTGGTTTAAAAATAGCATAAATACAAAATAAATTGGGAAGCAATACTATTATACTTAGCTGTAAAGTTCTATTTTAAAAAGCTAATTAAATTTAAAAGTACTTTTATAAAAAAAATAAAGTTTGCAAGCAAGTATTGGCATAATATATTCTAGATTTAGAAATTTGATAGAATAATTGGCCAGAGAATTTAAATAGATAATTCTAGTTTGAGTTGCAAGTATAGACATCTAATATAAATAGTGCTAAAGTACAGTAACTAGTTATATTTTCACTATAATTTCTAAATATATATAGATTCTTGTAATTTAATTGTGTATTATAAATATTAATAAAATCTAGTTGTCAAAAAAGATCTTAATAATAATAAAGAAAAAAAAAAGCTATATTATAAAATTTCATTAATATAACTGCTTAAATGAAGAATAATTTTAATCTTATTTTAAATTACTGCTATTTTCGAAATTGTTAAGAATAGCAATATTTGCAAAAAAAATTTTTTTGCAAATACACAAATATTTGATTAGTTTAGAATATTAATTGATAAATAATATCTTATACAGAATTTTTCAAAATGTAAATTTGTAATTGTTATATATTAGTAATTATATTTAAGTATTGCTATTAACAATTAGATATCAATCATCGATCAATTTTCTAACCTAATCAGGTATTCGGATATTTGCAAAAGAAATTTTTTTTTAAATTCTGCTATTCTCAACTATTTCGAAAACAGCTATAATTTATATAAAAAAAATTTTTAAAAATTTGTTAAAACTTTCTTTATTTCTAAATTTAAAGTCTATTAAAAAATCTACTTCTATATGAGTGCTGCCAAGAGAAAAAGGCCGTCCGGACTTTCAATTATATTTTGTATACAAAATATAATCAAAAGTCCGACCGGCCTTTTTCTCTTGGCATATAATATATATATTGTAAATTAATAGTAAATAAATAAAATATTGTATATTAGTTATACAGTACAATAAGTAAAATTTTGAGATGTAGCAAGAGGTGCACCATATCTGATATAGTCTTATTCAAATTTTTACGTATAGAATCTTTTCAGTATATACGAATAACATCCCTATAAAAACAACCTTATACAGATATTCTTTAAACCCTTAATCTAAATGATTTGCGGTAATAATCAAATCCGGAATTCGACTGCGAATCATTCTAGAACAAGATGTTCTAGTACAAAAAAAAGCTAATACGTATGTACGTACGTAATATACTACATGTAGGTTCTGATCTATATGTTAATCTTATCAGATTACTGCGAAAGGATAATTCATGTGAACAAATTTATTATTTATATTTTCATATATCAGATATGGGAATTACGATCAAAAAAAGAATGAATGATCTACATGTCATTTCTGCATTTATGTTATATTAATTAAAGCCACATCACTAGTAAAAAATTAAAAAAAAATTATCAAGAGTTCAAATTTATCTGAATATACGCCTGTATTACTCTTTTTACGTTTTCATGAGACGTGCTAAAGTATTTTCTGGTTCTTCTCACCCAGAACTTGCCAACAGTATATGTGAGAGGTTGGGTATACCTTCTTCTCCAGTTGTTTTAAAGAAATTTAGTAATAAAGAAACTTCCGTTGAGATTGGTAAGCGCGCCTTTGTTGCTTGAAAATTTTGTGTTCTAAAGAAGGAAATTCCTTTTATTTACTTACATTATCAAATTTTTACATATTAATAACCATCATAACACTGTGATCTATTTCAAACAGGTTGTTCAGTTCGTAACGAAAATGTATTCATTATTCAGTCCGGTTCAACTCAAATCAATGATCACCTTATGGAATTATTGATCATGATATCCGCTTGTAAAGGCGCTTCAGCAAGTAGAGTCACCGGTAACATGTCGGTTTTTGACGCGACAAGCGTAAAGCAGCTCATAATATTAAAATTCAAATAAATGACCTTTGCTGATTTACTTGCATTCTAGCTGTTATGCCATATTTCCCTTATTCAAAACAAAGCAAAAAAAAGAAGTACCGTTGTGCCATAACTGCAAAAGGTATTATTTTCTATATAATGATGTTATAATACTTTTACTTATGAAGCTTATATGTAATTGTTAAATATTTTTAAAGTAGTGGCAAATTTACTTTCGGTTGCTGGCGTGGATCATATCATCACCATGGATCTTCACGCGTCACAAATGCAGGGTTTCTTTAACAGACCAGTTGACAATCTTTATGCTGAACCTTGTATTGCTAAATGGATTCAAGATACAGTTCCTGAATATGCTAATGGTGTTGTTGTTAGTAAAAATGCCGGTGGCGCAAAAAGGTTTGAAGTGAATTTTCATTTAACTACAAAATATATACTTTGTTATAAATAATAAAAAAATATCTATCTTTGATCGCCAGAGTAACATCACTTGCCGATCGTCTTAAAATAGATTTCGCACTTATCCATACTGATCGTACACGTGAATCTCGCCGAAAGACTCTTTGCGATTCTACATCATGTGTTACAAAAATCGAAGTAAATAATATTAATGAGTTAGTGGATGATATGGATGATGCTGACGACATTAGCACAGATCATTCGACTGATGAATCTAATACCTCTTCAATAACCATCGAAGCTGAGACCAGTATTACTCTTGTAGGTGATGTTGAAGGGAAAGTTTGCTTTATAGTGGTGAGTTGCTATATTTTATTATCATATTTAGTTTCTGAAAATTATTTCAGTCAAATTAAAAGTCACATATCATAGGATGATATGATCGATAGTTCTGGATCGTTCATAGCTGCTGCCAATCATTTGATGAATAAATGTAATGCTAAACGTGTTTACGTAATCGCAACTCATGGAATTTTAAGCGGTGATAGTTTTAATGAAGTTGAAAGATGTATGAGTATATATAAGGTATGAAACTTTCTGCTTTAATAGGTTTCGTTTTCTTTGAATAGTTTGTATTTATTCGTAAACTGCTTTTTATCCTCTTCAAAATAGATTGTAATCACAAATACTTTTCCAATTCCGCCTGAAAAGCGTCACCAAACTTCCAAACTTGTAATCATTGATATGTCCCCGACATTAGCGGAAGCCATTAGAAGGACTCACAATGGTGAAAGCATTAGTTACCTATTTGATACAGCAATATGAGATGAAGAAATATAATTGTGGATGTCAAGGTATCGCATAACATAAATTTTTATAGTGAAGGCCCTTTACAACCAAAATTTGAGCATATAATGTATAAATAGTAGTGATGTAATCCTGAAATCAAATGTAGTGATTTTAACATTAAAAAAGAGGCATGATAATTTGGATAGTAAATTTGTGGCGTTTTCCTTTTTAAACCCATATTTTTGCCAATATATTATTATTTATAATAGTTATCTAAGGGTAATAACAGATATTACGTAATATTCTGAGGGGGTCTCTGATTTTCTTACGTACGTAGAAATATAAATTTATAATAGCCAATCAAATTTCTCTTACGTGGAGGAGGGTGTAGATGGTATAGTAAAAAAATATTACGTTATATTTGTCACTTTTTTTTTTAAAAAAAAAACATGAATTAATAATTATAATAAACCATAATTTCAATTAAGTGAATATATATATATTTTTTTTATAACTTACGCTTTTATACCGAAAAAATTTGTACGTTAGAAGTAATTTTAAAGACATTAAGCTTTTATGATCAATGTTTACATTCAAATGAAATTTTTTAAAAAGAATGTATACAATTAAATATCTCTAAACAAGTGTCACAAAATATCATATATATATATTGGTAAACTCATTAACAGTGATACATAAAATTAATACTTTAAAATTTCTATATAATAAAGTTTTGATTTTTTAAGAATTAAAATTTT